TCGGTATCAGTGATCGGTATCGGCAGATACTGCTTTCTGTGATCGGCCTCAAAAATCCTGATCGGAGCACCCCTAATACTGAATAACATGACGCTTCCATATCGCCTTTGAATCCAGTAGGCCTATAGCGTTGTTCCCATAGCCGTGATTTAAAGCTCTGTTTCTCTGGCATTTTCAAAGGCACGTCAAATATAATACTGTGGCTTGGCATGATACACAGTCTAATGGTCTAACGAAATCCAATTTTAAACATCTTTTACTGTACCCATTTTATGGCCCTTATATTACCTATTTGAGCCAATGCAGATGAATGAAGTTATCTCAGGATGGGACCGCCCTGATTGTAAAGCAAAACGTGATTGGCTATAGCGAGATCGTGCTACGATTGGTCAGCGAAATGTGGCTGTTATCTGATTGGCTTGAGTAGACGGTGGGTGGAGTCCACGTATTTGTGGATTGTCAGCACGTCTTGACGTTTCACAATTCGCAAATGCACAGGACGTGATTCACAAATAAATGAGAGGCAAAGTTGTGGTTGTGACAAATATATATTTGTGAATATGTCTTTTATTTGCAAATCTCATTTTATTTATTTGTGAATTTAATTCATGTTTATGAAACTTTAAGATTTATTTGTGGATCTCATTCTATTTATTTGTCAATATGTTTAATGTTTGTTAATCTCTTTACATTTATTTGTGGATCATAATCTATTTATTTGGAATTAAGCAACAATTCTATCTCCATACATTTCCAATTGAAAAGTTATATTCAACGAGAAAACCTAGATGGGAATCCAACAAATTGCACAATAAGGAATGTAAATTTAGAAATCAATTTTGATTTCATGTTGATGCTTTAACAAGCAAAAAATGTTGAAAAGTACAAAAATGTGCTTTCATAAGCAGTATGAAGACGAGCGTGATTATAAACATTGAAAGGAAGAACAGGGAGATGAAAAGAGAGAAAAATGAAAGAAGCTTACTTCAGCAGGCCGAAGATGAAGGCATTGAGTCTCATACTGTGATTGGTCAGCTCAGAATACTGACTGACTTTAGAAAACAGACTGTGTAAAACCCGCGTAGAGGGACCTAGGACAGAAAGGATAAGCATAAATAATTTCCTTCATTCTCATTCATATAATAATCACCTTCATCACTCCTCTCATACCGAGTTGTGTGGAGGCCTCCACCACACTCCAGGGCTGATTTTTGCGTTGTCCGATGATCAGGTCCAGTACATACGCTTTCAGTCCATCATGCAGTATCTCACGAATGGCAGGACAGAGGTACTTTAGAATAAGGTGACCCACATTCGGACTTACAGAGCTATTTCCCAATTTGGCCTGTAAGAGAGAGCGAAAGGGTACTGTCAACATTTTTACTGCCTTTAGTGAGGCACGTAAACTCAAGTATACAGAGTTTAACACTGTTATTTCAAATTTAATGTACCTTTACTCCTGCATCTCGACTGATGCCAAAATGAGCCACTATCAGATCGACTGCTGTGTTTATGGCCTTCACCAAACCTAGTACATAAGGATATACAGAGGAGACAAAATAGAAAATATTCCATTATTTTATTTATCTAATCAAATTGAACTCTTACTAATAGTATATAGGCTACACACAAACACACGCTCTGTCATATGCTAATGCAGTTTAGAGGATCTGATGGGAATTGGCAGTATTTGAGTGGAAAACAAAAGGGGCCTTGTTTGGTTGACATGAGGACTCAGTGGAAACAACATGAAGAGACATAGATTTCTTCTGCATTGTTGTCACTAGGGCACACATAATATTCACTGCAGTGTGTATGCAGTGCATTAAAACTATAATTCATTTAAGAGCTAAAGGGCTCACCGCAACAATAAGGTTTATATTAACCACATCAAGCTTTAAAGATGAGCTTGCTGAGGTTATTATACTGCTATGACTATATGGAGATTTTAGATTAAATCTGGACATTGTTTAAACTGCGAAACAAGTCAGAGAGGCAAAAGTAACGGCTTAAAATAATGGTTGACCCAAACAAATTTAAATTCTGTTTCATTTCTATACCTTCATGTTGTTCTAAATCTGTATGACTTTATTTCTTCTGTGAAATGCAGAAAACAGTTTTTAAGAATCTTCACACTGCTCTTGCCTATACAACAAAAGCATACGGTGACAAGGGACTGGCCTCCAAAGGCCAAAAAAGGCAGCATTTTTTGGCATTAGAACACTTAGAATATAGTACATTAATCTAACCTTGTGGTCCCAATTTGTCTTCTTTGAAGTTTCACTATATGCCTGTTGTATGGGCAAGAGTACTGCAAGCATTCAGCAAAATTAATTTTTTTTTTAAATTCCTTTTACTTTCTAATTCAGCTTCTTAGTCTTGTCCTTATCTAAACATGATGTCACTTTCCCATGCAAGACTAATTTAGTAATATGTGGTGTGAAGAACAATAATGTTGTCTAAAATGTATGAAAGCAATGATAAATTACAATAGCCATTTTAAAGCTTCACCATGTTACTCACAATGAACAAGAACAATTGACCAAGGATCACTCACAACAGCAAACTTCTTGGGAATCACCAGTTTTAGAAACAAAGAACATTTTATTTATTTGTCCATCCACTCTGATAAGATGTCCTGCATTCATATGTAAACTGGTGCCTTGAACCACATTCATCCACCGAGGAGCAGAGCCGAAGCACAACCAAAACAATCGTTTTCCCGCAAGATACTTGCAGTTTTATTTTTTAACTTCTAGATGTTACATGATAATATTTAAAAACTCAAACTTATTTGTAAGTGACTTTCAATAAATGTGTCTGATAAATGAATAAATGTAAATCTAAATATCTAGGAGTGAGGTTAACATAAAAGGGGGGTCTAATGCTATTACATGCATTCTGAGTTATTTACACTGTTAAAGAGTTGGATTCTCGTGCTAAACATGGTCAAAGTTTAAAAAAACGATTTGGACGTATGACGGGGTATTTCTGTGCCAAATACACTCCTTCCAGGTTAGAATAAGTTTTAGAAAAAATTTTCATGCATGGCTCTTCATGACGTCAAGAAAGGGCAGAATTCCTTGTATGGGCACTTTCTGTGTTTTGTTGGCAATCGGCGCATAAGTGCTCACGACTCTTTAGCTCTGGCCATGGCATGCCTCCAGGAGCTCAGAGAGAATCGTAAAGCTGTATCTTTATTTTATAAATCTGATAAAGCTAAAGACTCTTTGGAGATATGAATGATGCAATACTACTCTACAGGTACTAAAGATTGACATGAGATTGGCATAAACTGTGTGTTATGTCCCCTTTAAGAACTGATATGATATTTAACACATGCTGTGCCACTGTTAGCGTTAGTACACAGAGAAAAAAATAAATCACACACCTCTCTTCTGCAACAGGTCTATAGAGATGGATTCATCAGTATTAGCATCAGGAGATAAGCAGAATTCCTCTGGGGGGCGCTCTGTCTGAGAGAAATAATCCGGCAGGAAGTCACTGTAGCACTGCGGCAGTTGCCTCAATGACTGACCTATAAACAAAAACAACATCAGTCAGATAAATGCAAACCGACACCAAATATAGACACTGCTATACAAAACAAGCTGGTGATGACAGACAAAAGATACGGTCGTTGTCACACTTAAGTGTTCACTAACTACATTTACTAACTATCGCATTGGCCCGAATATAAGATGACCCCGATTATAAGACGACCCCCCTTTTTCCAGATGTACCTTTTGGAAAAAGGCTTTTTAAAAACCAAATCTTGTTTTTTCTCAGTAAAACACATTTTGTCTTCAATTATTTTCATATTGCATATTTTTCCTATTTTAATTTTTGTTTTGAAAGTATGGTAAAAACTGGTAAAATGTACCAACAATCACATTAAAAAAATATACACTTTTTGATATACCATTAAAAAAAACAAAAAAAACAGGTAGCCCATCTGAATTAGGACATTTAGGCTATCCATCTAATAGTAGCCTACCAAAATCTTATTAACAGTAGAAGTTAAATCTTACTGTAGACTTCAAATCTGGGTACTGTCTTACATTTTAAAATCACAAAGGGAGTTTGGTCCCATCAGGCTAACGTGACAGTCACGACTCATGCAGCTGTAAGGTTTTCTTTTGTTTTTACACGCATTACATTACGTATTTCATGGCACACTCGTTTTATGCGTATTTGGCGCCACCTATTGTTGTGGGTGTATTATTGACATGTCAAAGTCTAGACCCTGAATATAAGACGACCGTGTTTTTTCAGATGTATTTCCAAGAAAAAAACATCGTCTTATATTCAGGTCAATACGGTATAAACAAAATGATTCCACCCCAGCCCCCTTTCTGTCTCTTTGGGTGATAGAAATTGGTTCAGCACCATTAAGTCTGCCGAAGCTGAGTGGTTGATTGGTGGGAGGGAAATCAAACACATTGCGTCGCATGACTTGAGTTCCAGGTCTCTTGGTTTCCAAAGCACAAGAGAAAGAATGAGGGCCGTTTTTACCACGCTCCACACCCAGAGGGTTCTTGCGTCTGTACTCTCTCCATTTGAGTGCCTGCGGGGAGAGGTGGTGCACTGGGGGCAAAATGGAAGAAAAAGGGGATGGTGGCAAAGAATGGACGGAATACAAAAAGAAGTATTGGTGAATGGATGGTAAGATGAATGAACATACATACACAGGGAAAAGTAGTAAAAGGGAAAGAACAGTCAGAAGGGTAAGATAATATTGTGGAAATGCCAAAGTGATGCAATGGAAAAAACGGGCAGAAGGGGAAACAGGAGGGATAGAAAAGAGAAATTGTTAGCAGTATTTAAAGGAAAGAATAGTCAAGGTGTAAGTATGGAAGCTAAGGCTTTGTTCAGATAGGCAGCCAATATACGATTATTTTGACCTACCCAACTCAAATCAGAAAAAAAAGATTTGTACAAACTCAAGGCAAAACCACGTTAATGTTTTTTTTTCTTTAAGAGCAGAAAAAATTATTATAAAGTCATAAACAACACACAGCAGTGTCTAGAACTGTGAATTCACTCATTTTTCTCCAAACCTACCATTAGGCTGTTGCTGTGTCACACATGCCGGTAAAACCTTCACTGGCTCTTCCTGTGGCGCTGGTTCCAACTGTCCAAGAGGACTGAGACCTGAGCTGGGTAGCGTCGGCAAATTGCCACGGTGGAAACAGTGATTTCTAGTGGGCAATGCAGGCATCAGCAGACTCTGCTTCATCAGTGGAGGTGGAGGCGGTGTTGGAGGTAAGGGAGCAAGTTTAGGTGTCTCTGTACGTATGGCCATTCCAGTTGGGGTATGCTGGGGCAGAAGGCCTGCAGAGATGGGGCAAGAGAGGGAACGTGGTGGCCTCGGACCACCAGGGGTCGGAGTGCATGTCGAGCAGGTTCCAGAAGAGGTGGGTGCAACTTGGAGGCGAATTGGGGAATAGCTGCCCAGTGGGGATGGCCGCACTGTTGTAGGTGCATTGGAGGAGCCGTGAGGTGGCCTACGATCTTCTTCCGAGTCATCTTCACCTCCCTCAGGCACTGCAGCCCCTCGAGCCTGCATTTGGCTGATGTATCCGTCCAGAAGAGGAAGGAGAGGCTTCGTCTGGGGTTTTCCAAACTGGTGCTGGAAAGTGAAAGGCTGAATGGGTAATGAGGTAGGACGTTGATCTTTGCTATAGCGAAATACAACTGGAGAGGAGTCTGTGGAGCTAGACAGGCCACCTAGGGGGAAGAAAGACAAGAGACAGAGATGAGAAAGGAGGGTTTGGAGAGAAAATAAGACAGATGAAGATTAAGAACAAAATTAGAAATTTAAAACTGAGACTGTGGCAGAGTATCATTCAATATCTAATGCTTCATAAATCATTATAAATAAAATTAATTGACATGATACATATAATTATAATATGAAGCAAATTATTTGATGTAAATTCAAACCAGAAAGGCTATGGCAATGACACAGCATTTTAAAACAGCTGGAATAAAACCCAGCAATAGTAATAGAAACAACAGGGTCTTATTATGAAACTGAAACAAAATCATACATAAAACAAAAATCATACAACTTTGTCAAAAGCATACCTTAAAACACTGCTCCAAAAACTTAATGACCAACAGAGGTACATAAAGAGCCAGGACATTATTACCAAAAAACAGCCTGTTTAAGAAGCTCCTCTGTGTACACCTCTGGGTGTGTGTTGCGTGTGCTCTGACGGGCACACAGTGTGTGAAACGTCACTCGGCTATTGAGTAAACTGTCTGCTCCACATGCCTGAGTACTCGTATGTCAGAGCTCTTAGTACACGGCAGTACCCAGTCACAGCCAGCAGGGGCAGCACAGCACTAAGCACAGAGAGAACTAACAAGCATTCCAGTAACAAAAGCTAACCTTTCTGTTGATCAAACTCTGCCAATTTATTTTGCTTTGTCAAACCTCCTAACCTAAGTATCAAACTATCATGTAACTCTTGCACTGTTTGTGCTACAGATACGAATGACACCTCACATAATGCAGCTGGAAGACGACAGATGTGTTATTACTAATCTCATCGGATTTGAGATTACCTGGCTGGCAAACAATAAAAAAGCCATAGACATACATAAAAGAATATTTTACCCAAAAATTGTCATATTTAATTTACCATTATGTTGTTTAAATCCCACATAACATTTATTCCTCCACAAAAAAAATAAAAGGAAAATATTTGGAGATATTTTTTTTGTATTCCATAGAAGAAAGTCATATGGATTTGGAACGACATGGGTAAGTAAAGGATGACTGAATTTATTTTTGGGTCCAAAGCATACAGTATCCAGTAAAGTTTTTTTGTTTTGTTTTTTTGTTTTGACTTGGACCAAAATAAGGAACAATGCAGAACTTCCTAGCAACACTCTAGCAACCACACAGTAACCGCAGATCAATGTGCAGAAAACACTCTTTAACAACATCCTAGCAAGTAACTGAACCAAGAGGAAAGAGTGGTACCTTTTAGCAGAAGCTAACCAAATTGGCTTGGAAAATAAAACAAACAAATCATGCTAAGGGCAATCACTGAGAATACACACCATTTACTAGCTAGGTTTGAAATGCTAGAGAAATAAAATTATGAAAATCTAATTGTCACAACCCAACCAACACATAGTCAAGAAGAGTTTCAAAATGCAGTCAGGCTTCTGAGTGCTAGGCTGCACAATAACATGATTCAAACACAAAACAAGTCAATCCACAAAATAAACCAGCTCTTACAAGTAACACAATTTAACCATCCTCTTTTTAGAAGATAATGTGTTACCTTCTGCTTTGGTTCGAGCCCGTTTTCCTGCTCCCCCTGGTGATTCTCGCAGCGGTGTACTCCGAGATCTATGCGGGGAGGACAAATCACAGCTCCCTTGACTATGGCATCGAGTGAGTGGTGGCAAACTGTGGCTCTGACCCTGTGGAAGGTCTTCCAAGATGGGCGAGAACTCTCCAGATGAGTGAGAGTTCATGGATGTGGCCTCCATTCCACCCCTCTGTGATGGTGATCCTCCGGTTCTCCTCTTATTCCTCGCTATTTCCGCAAAAGAAGTGACACGTGGTGGAGGTGGTGGGCTAGGGGCTGCACTCTCACTGAGCCGAACAGGGCAGCTGAGCATGCGCTCCAAGGACCCAAGGCGAGGAGATGGTGACTTGTCTAGGTTCCGATCGTAGCTGCGAGAACGAGGTCGATCGCTCCCCAAAGCACCAACTGAATTGCAGGCTGTTGTAGGTGGGGAGATGTTGATATACACCTGCCCCTCAATTACATTCTCACGGGTAGATTCAATCTCACATGAATCATTTTCTTCATTCTGGCAAAAGAAAAAGAAAAGAATGTAAAGGATGTAACAAGCTAGAAGAAAAATAAGAAGGTACAATGTACATATTGCTAAGGAGTACAGAATGAGTAAAGGCACAAAATGCTAAATACAAGCTAACACCAAATGAAGCAAATAATATAACACCTCTGCATCTTCCTCTTCTTCATCCTCTTTCATTTGTTGGAATAGGTAGTACTCTGTTGGCTGAGTGGGACTTCCTTTGCTGTGCTCATCTGAGCAGCTTGTGACCGATGATCCCGCTGGACTGGGAGAAGACTGGGAAGAAAGGTCACATGTCACCAGCTTGTAGTAATTCTGCGTTGCTACAACCAAGCGAGCTTGGCTTTGAAGACACGAGATGAGTTCACTGGCAGAGGTTTCAGCGGAGGACAGTGCCTCGCTTCCAAGAAGGTTGTGGTATGAGTTACAGTTGGCATCTAGTTCCATAGTGGCACCTTGTGACTGAGATACAGAAGAAGAGTTTGCATGTTCTTGAGTGGCCGAAGGATGCTGAGCGGGTTCAATCGGGGAGGTGTGTAAGTCCAGGTAGAAAGCTCCACGTCCACTGCTACATTCTGTTCCGCACATCCCAACAAGCTCAGACACAGATGAGGCACAGGATTGCTCGACGGAACTGTTGATATTGAGTGACTGTTTGGCTGGGACAACATTGTTCATCTTGTTGTAAATCGTGCTGAAGTTAACCAGCACTCCATCTGAGCTATTGCAGGAGGAATCACTGCCGTAGCCCTGGTGACACTCAGAAAATGATTTGTGAAAAGGTTCAGGGTATGGCTGAGAAAGGACGCAACAGGAGCAATGTGGTGCTGCAAGACTGGAACACTCTGAGCTTCCTCTGCCACCCTGCATGGACTGGTCTTCATAATCATCATCCTCACCCCATTCTTGCTCACCACAGTCCATTGAAAGGGTGGAACCACTGCTTCCGTGGCGCCGCTGGCTATCTAATCTCAGCAAGTTCAGTCCCTCCATGTGAGTAGACAAATCGAAAGTCCCACCTATTGTGTGGTCTCTGTGCTCTGCTTCCCCACTAGGCCCATGTATGGAACTCCACTGTTTTTCTGTAGACCCATGCAAGAGAAAAGGTTCAACGGTGAACCCAAGGTCATGCAGGTGGAAAGACGGCAAGTCTTCATTTGCAAGTGCTGCATTTGAGATTTCATGCGAATTTCCATGCAGGTGAAAAGAGGAGTCTTCCAAATATCCATTCAGATTGTCTTCATCCTCATCATCTTCATCTTCAGTGTTGAGCAGAAAGGGGTTACGTCTCGAGTTCAGCTGTTCACGTGTCTTCATCTGCAGGCCTTGAGCTTGATCTTCAGAATTGCTTGAGGTGAAAGAGGAAGTGTCACTTGCCATACTCCCTTCTCTCCCACCTCTTCCTTGTTTCTGCCCTCCTCTAATTCCTCCAACCCCAAAAGTATCACTAGAGCTAAGGCTGCTGCTCAATGTCTGTATGAGGCTGCTGTACACCAATGCCTCCCGCTGAAGAATATCTCTCTCAGGTAGGGAGGTAGTCCGGCTCAATCCCAGATTCTCCGGGCAGCTGAAAGGATTACTGTTCCTTTTCAATGGACTACCACAGCATTGTCGTGAGCTTGAAACCTGGCAGTGAACAAGTGGAATGTGGTGGACAATAAGAGTCTCCCCGGCTAGCTTAGGTGGACTGTCCATCTTCTCCTAGTGGGTGAGGATGAAGAATATTTGGATATTTGCAGAATGTGGTTTTCCGAAGACTTTAGTTCACACGTCCAATGCCAATCCGTGGTTTTGGGAAGTGAGGAACGTTAAAGAAAAGGTTAAAGAGGATCTCTTGGCTGAAGGTAAACATCTGAAAAAAAGACAGAAGACAGTACTCAGTTTTAAATTATCTTCACGTAAAACAAAGATATTCAGTGTTCATAAGTGGAAAAGGGCATTTTAGTTGGGCATCTCATTGTATAAACATATCATTTTCAACAAAGTTACATGTTACATAACAAAAACATGATCTACAGGGACAAATCATGAGTGCCAAAAACAGACAAAAAGAAACCTAAAGACAAACTAACAAATGAATAATTAACTAAATCCAGTTTACAGGCTCCTTAATCTGCTCACAGTCTATAGATGATAATGTATTCAGAATGTAGACAATCTATGAATAAACTGGTACACAGGTAAATACATAATTTACCATTTTAATTGATAGTTAATATAAAGGAAATACATTTAAACCAACACAAAAATTCTCAAACTTACAGGAGTCCATGAAGGAAACTAAGAGTGGATTACGAGAGCTGACTAATGATTACATATATACTGGGCTAGTGATTAATTAAACAATATCTTCGAAGCATGTTTTTCTATCATTTTTATTTTGATTAACATTTTATATCAACCAAACACAGGCACTGTCAAGGCAATCACCTAAAACTACAAGAAAAAAGAGAATAAATTAGGGCTGCACGATATATCGTTTCAGCATCGAAATCGCGATGTGCGCATCCGCGATAGTCACATATACCCCAGGTAAAATACATTATAATAAATACAATACATATATTTAAATTAGGGCTGCACGATATAGCGTTTCAGCATCGAAATCACGATGTGCGCACCCGCGATAGTCACATCGCAGGATGTGCGATGTTTCGTATACTGATCGTTATATTTATACTGATTGTTTTCTTTGCTCACACACAGACACGGTGTCTACACCGGCGGACGCGACAGCTGTACAGAGATACCCATTTTAAATACTTTTAGTAGCAGAGCGATTTTCAGTGCTGGAAATCAGTTTATCCTTTGTTGAAACTTCCGCGTCGTCGTGGAGAGCGCACGCTTAGCAATGGCAGACGCCACGAAAGAGCAAGCTCCCGAGTGCTTTGGAAAGAAGGAGAAAGCAGCGCGACTGGCGTTTTCCACGCGTTTTTAGGCACGACATGTGAACGGCCCCAAAGTCTGTCTACACTGGACGCGACAAAGCGACCGTTGCCAGTAATTTGAACTTTGTGTTTGTCAGTACTTTGTCGTGCTGCGCCGCATCCAATGTAGACAGCATCACTGATTATTTTATTATGGGTTCTATTGTATTTTGTCGCGCTATATATATATATATATATATATATATATAAAACATTTCTGTCCCCCTCACTTCTGAAATGATGGCTACGCCCCTGGATTATGGCATAGATGAAGGGAAACAATTGCGAAAGAAAATGGATGTGTAATAGCACTTTAATTCAACGGGACTGCACGCTCTGTGGTTTTTCTCTTTTCCATTTCCAAGAGAGTTGATATGAAGGAAAAAGTGAAAGAAAGAAAAAAACCAGAAGCTACATGATTCAGCACCATCTGACACCTTTAATACCAAAATTCATGAAGACCTGCCACTGGAATCAGACACGTGGTGACCATACTGTAGTGTTTCTCTGCTTATTGCTGTCTGTGTGGGCAACCTGGGAGGCTTCTAAATTCAGCAAATAGACATGAATCTATACAATTATACAGAGAAAATTTGACTTTTTTTAGGCCAGCCTTTTTTTTGCTGTCTCTCTTCTGCGCTTCTGCGTTCGTCACTAATCACCGGCGCATGTGCGACGCATGCATCCTACGTCATCCGCCGGAACGGCCTGCACGTATGACAGTCACACTGAAAAAAATTATTCATTGAATTGACTAAATTTTTTTAAGGTAAGTGGTTGCAATCAATTTATTTTAGCTACTAGGGCTGCACGATATATCGTTTCAGCATCGATATTGCGATGTGTGCACCCACGATAGTCACATAATGTCTTTGATTATTCAATTTCTGTACCTGAATACTGTTAGACTTGCCTTAAAAATACAAAGCACTGTTTATTTCATTTGTATCTTTGTTCTGTTATATTTATCTATGCTTGTAATTTGTTTATTTCCTATGCTGATTTACTCGCCTAAATCACCCCAATCGTTGATTTTTTATCGTTGATTATATAATCGCAGAAAAATAAAATATCGCAATGTGAGTTTTTTCCAATATCGTGCAGCCCTAGAATAAATGGTGTAACCTTGAAAGTTGTGAACTAAAACAATTATCGTAACATATAGTAG